GAAGCCCAGTTCCTTGAGTTTAGATAGCGTCCAATGCGTAAGCTCGTCTCTGCACATAGTCCAATAAAATTATAATTTGAATTACAGAGCAACGGACGGAGTGTCGGACACGTCTTAGAAATCAGTTCGCTTGATGACACGAGGAACGATCCATACAGTTCTAAACCAACATGGTTTATATTAAAAAGATTTTGAGACAACGTCCCTCCCTATAGTAGTGGCTGTCGTTTTCGCTCCCTGCCGTTTCTAAACAGGCAGATAATACGTCTTAATGTCATTTCGAGAAAGTTTCTTAATTTTTCAGTTGTTAGAACTCTGACTTTTATTTTAAAAGCTGCATTATAAAACAAACTCATTCATGATTACTCGGCACTAGCCGGGGTTCAATAGTGATTTGTCAGTTCGGGTGCTACCGAGCATATTGACGAGGGTTTAACATCGTCATTGCATTTGGGTTTTGACAATTATTTTTTTATTACTTTGGGCCATATTCTGTCCTTCTGTCAATATTATCTACAATGAAGTACAGGATTTTGCTGGTCGAAAAATCCCTGGAGCATAAGTCGGTAACGACTGGATACAAAGACCCGGGTATTATTACTATAACTCGTTAAGTAGGCATGCCACATCGGGGCTACGTTTCTGGCTAAGACAAAGGAAATGACTAGAGTTAAAGTTAACGTTTGGGGTTGGGTTAAAGATTAGAGTTAGGGAGAGGGTTAGGGCCAAAGTTAGAGCAAACGCAAGGATTATGTCCGTCTGCCGCATATCGTCATACTTAATCCGGCCTTCTTTAACCGATTACCGCGCACTATCTGCTTTCTCCCCGTTCACACGCCCTACTTCACATCTTTTAAATTGTACGATCTGTTCCGGTACCTCCTCGGAGTAATGAAACAAGAATAGTGCAGAACTGCGAGTTTTCACACTGCCTTCCTCAGATTCCGTTAAATGTCACATCCATCTGCCATACTGCCAAAACTACTGTTAACAGCCTTCATGAAACACAAAATTCTCGGCTTTTTATTTTCTCAGTGGGCCTACATATCCAATCCTTGCAATGAGCCTAGACAAGGTCTGCGACTGAATAGCTAAGAAGAGGATAATGCAATTTTAATGTCCTACCGGGCCTGTAATAAGACATTGAATTCCAAAAGAATCAATAAATTCTTTCATTCGCATATTTGCGGGCTAAATACGCATGAGTCCGGTGAATCGCTAATGTCGCCATGCATATAAACATTGACTTTACTTGCCGATATTTTGAAAGCTGAGGGCGTACCGGCGGGAAATGCGGGTAGGCAGATGGAATGTCTCTAATCGGCTTGATAGACCCTTTCTGTGTTCTAATTGCGCTTTCCATAAAAATGTTTGTGGTTCTAGTCCCAGGTGATGGTCAGGGTTATAACTAGCTGTATGAGGGTAGAACGAGCCCGAAAAATCATTGTATCAATTTAGACACATTTTTTGTCGACATTCTTTCCGTTGGTCTACTTTGGTCGAGGTAGACCTGGTAGATGATTGCTCGCTCGTGACCTGTTGCATCATTTGGGAACTTCTATACCCGAAAATGCCAGTGGATTGGTATGCGCCGCTTCTAGAATTGTGAGAAGTGTTTAGCAATGGTGGCTAAAAGGAAGCAGTGAAAAATATTGTACATGAATAACAATGAACAAACACTGCACGCAATTCACTTGTCCTGTGTCACCATTGGCTATTCAACCGCACCCCGATCGACTTATGTCCTAAAAATCGTATATTAATACGCCTCACTGGCTGACATAAATCAGTCAAATGCCTCTACCGCTATACATTCCCAATTGCAACCGACAGGACAACGAGCCCGTGGCGCGGTGGTTAGAGGCGTTGGATTTCTAATCAACAGGTCGCGGAATAGAGCCCCAGGTGTTACAGACCTCGGGGTTGGGTATGGCTGACTGACGACAGCTAACAAGCCAGAAATGGCCATTCCAGTCTCCTTAATTTTTGTCGGTAATGTCATCCAAACAATTGCCTGTTTATATACTTCCGCCGACTGTACGCCACTCACAAGAACAAAGGCATCATAGCGCATCCAGGAACGAATAACATTTATTTAACCGGCGAGGAAGTAATATAACCCAAATGGCAAAGAGCATGCATTGCTAATGTAGGCATAAAAGACCCCGAGGAAATATGAGTCCACAAAATACCTTTAAAGAATTTAGTAAAGATTCTTGAAACTGATTGGCGAAGGAATCTCGAATTAAGCTCTTGGACCCAAGTAGTTCGCGGTCGGAAAACCTACGAGTAATATTCGCCACTCATAAGGCTCCCTAATTTCAAAAAGCCAAAAACTAAGGCATCAATTAAATTTTTGCCTGAGCAAGTTCCAAAGTATGTTAGGATGAGTAATTCAAATAGACCTCTCAGGTCGATCGTTTTGAGAGGTATGAGAGAAAAACAGTGAAGCAACAATAAAATGAAGCCCCAGAAGCAATCAATGGAAAAAACAGCTGAAAGCGAATGCAGAAAATCCAAGTTTATGTTGTGAATTTAAAAACATAAATATGCTGCAACTTCAAGACAACGCAGACAAATTTAGCTTGGTAACTTTTCCTTTGCGGTTGATGGACAAATATCCCGGATGAGCTAAATCAAAATTGAAAGTTGGTAAGAGCATGAAAAGTTCCAGTGTCGTGTATTAAAGACGAAATACATGCAGAGTGTAGAATGAAGGATTGATATGTCGAATGAACAATGGCAAAAATGTGCACGCCAGAATTCCACATTCATATTAATAAGCATGTTGAATCTTACAGCCGAAACTCACTGCTTTTGACTCCCTAATAAACGTAAATGGGTCAGCTCGAGATGGCGCAAATAACAATGTGCGAGAACTTTCTGATTTTCGAAATTCTGGAGTAAAATCAGTGGAGATGCAGTACTCTACATGGAGAATGTATGCGCATAAGAAATCTGGCAGCCACAATCAAAAATCGGGGACTCTCCCCTGTGTCCCCTCAACTGAAATACAATTTCGACCAAAGGGTGTAAGTAAAAGCCCATGCATTGGAATGTCAGGCAGCTAGAACTTAACAATGACTAGTATAAATAAAAATTTATACAAGGAAATCCCTTAACTCTAGAGAATTTAGGCAAAAAAACTAGGAAAATGCGAAATGGCCTTATCCTCTCGCTACAGCTGAGAACAGTCAAAGTAACTACCTACTCAAATAGGCAAGCAGTAAAATTCATAGAAAAGTGGAAGAGAATGTGAAGATTATGTAGCCGGAACTTGACGATTTTGGCAAATGTTTGTAAGCCCAATTCATGTTTCCGAGTGCTCTCCCTCGCAAACATAAACACAGCTGACAAAACCATTCACCAATGAGGGCGGTACCTCAGTGCGTACCAGAAGATTGCTCGACCAAAATGATTGCCCTTTTATACTGTGCCATCTCCGGTGCCGCAAAAAAGTCGAAATTTTAATGTCAAGCCATGTGAACAGGCCACCGGATTACAGGGTGTTTTGCAACTGCGGTCGTCACCCCAAATAGGCTCGCTCATAATCCGTTATCTGCTGACATGCGAGGGTGGACCACCTGGCGATTATCTGGCGTCCCCTAATGACATGTTTAAAGGTCGACATCTATGTTTTCCAGCCGCATTAAAAGGTCAAAGTGTCAAATACGGAAACGCGCAAAATATCAAGTTTCGTCGAAAAATAACGACAAATTAAGGAGTAGGGAGGTTGCAGTTTTTGTGGTTTTAAAATTATTTAATATTCTTTACGACTGTGCCTGGCGATTTCAGTTTTTTAAATCAATGGAACGCCAGTGATAAGAAGTTCACGTCAAAGGCCAAATTCTTTGTCTACTTAAAACCTAAACAACTAGTAACATCAGGGCAAAAACAAGGAGAACTGAAGCAGTCATGTCTGGTGTGTTTGATCTCGTCAGCCGGTCAAACGTCTAAACCATAGACTATAACTTGCGTTAAAATGGTCATTGAGATCGGCGTCTGACCAAGGAAGACACGGTGTCCCGCTCTGTGGGCTGACTTAGAGAATATTGGAAAGCGCGTGAAATTTTCGTTCACAGACTTTACCTCACTGCGCAACGGAATAGAAGCGATTCTTTTTCCCAGGGATAGGGTGTGAACCCCTCCCACGCAGTCGAGGAAGGCTGTTTCAGGGAGGAGAAAATGGGAAATAGCGTGCCTGGTAGTCTTGCCGTTTCAACTAAATGTGTTACTAGGCTTTGAAGAAGTAAATTCATTATTCCACTTACCGATTACAAACAGACAGCCACATTTTGCAGAATCTCGGAGAACTGGAAAACTCTCAGAACAATATTTGGATAAGAAAATAAAATCATTTGTGAGATAGCGAAGCAGAGTACGCACAGCGTCCCTCGCCCTGAAACATTGAAGTTTGATCATTTGGACTTTAGGGTGACTTTTTTAACTCACGCTGTCACATTTAACATAAACATGCGTGCGAGATTTTCAGGGCAACAGAGTAGAAATCCCAAAATAGCGCATGAACAAGTTACATGGTCAAGTTACAAGTCAACAGTCTGTTGCGTATTCATAACCAACTTCCTAGCACACATTCTCCTCTGTAAATTTCTGGGAATGCTCAGGCATTTTTCCTTTTCATGTTTGTGCCGTCATCGATATGTTCCATATTGGGGTGTAGGGGTGTCCAATTGTGGGTCCTCGTGATGGTTGTAGTAGGTCGCTCACTCGCTTGCAGGTGTATACTACGCCTAGCGTCCATTAACTGGCACCCAACTCTCACATGTGGCTCCCCGAAGCTAGGCTCTGCCTAGCGGCCACACCCCGATTACCGACTCGACCGACGAGGGTATCCGTGTATGCATCTCCACACACGATAACTCTGCTCCGCTCCCACCATCGCTGGTCGGATCGACCACCGCCTCAGCATCTCCGAGACGGTGCTCCGTCTGCAACCCCGCAGGAGGCCACAAGCACCCAGTAAACTGGACTTCCAGCGGATGGAAGACCGTCCTCTTACTTCACTTTCGCATATATTCTCCGTCCTTCTCCTCTGCCACTTTCTACCCTCTCTACTCTCTGCTCCTTTACCCTACGGCCGACAGTCCCACGGAACACCGCATCTCCGCTTCCAAGACGAGGCTTCATCTGAAACCCCGCTGGAGGCCACAAGTCAAGTGCCCTTTCAGGTAAGTCTGATTTGGCTTTGATGTCTTTCTTTTCTGCTTGTTCTTGCTTGCTTACCTTTTTCTGTTTGCTTGTGTTTGTCCTTGTAAGCTAAATATCGTTCTGCTGAATTTATCTGCTAAGCGTTTACATTTCAGCAACCAGTTAGCCTAGAGAGGGACAGAAAAGTTCTGTTTCCCATTTCTCTACCCTTCTCCCATCCTCCTCCTCCTCCTCCTCCTCCTCCTCCTCCTCCTCCTCCCCCTCCTCCTCCTGGAATCACGTCCTCTGCGCGCTAGCCGTGATTCGCAGACGCAAAACACACGATCGAGCCAATCAAACAGGAAAAAATACTCTCTCTCTCTATCCCCTACCCATCCTCCCCATCGCCCGGCCGCACAGTCTGTTAGGGTAAGTCAGCTCACTCTGGCAGTCTTGGATTTTACTTCCCTTTTAGACAATCCGAGGAGCAACCGACTGAAATGGAGAATGGCACTAAGGACTTGGGAACTGGCGCGCTACAAGGTGGACATCGCCGCATTCAGCGAGACTCGATTTTCCGAATAAGGCCAACTGGAGGAGGTGGGTGCCGGCTACACCTTCTTCTGGAGCAGTCACCCCAGGACAGAGCGACAGGACGCGGGCGTCGTCTTTGCCGCCCGTAACGGCATCGTGGGACGACTGCCCTTACGAGAACCGATGGTTTCAACTGGGGCACACAGTCCAGTTGACGGCCCTGACTGTCCTCGCTCGCGCACATCGCCAACACCAGGATTGGTTCGACAATAATGACGCCGCCATCAGCAATTTGCTCGCCGAGAAGAACCGACTGCACAAAGCCCACATCAGTCGTCCCACTGACGACAACAAAACACCCTTCTACCTTGCGCAACAGCGGCTGCAAGAGCTTCAGGACGCTTGGACGGCTCGCAAGGCCGATGAGATCCAAGGTTGCGCAGATCGCAACGAATGACAAAGTTACTTTTCCGTGATCAAGGCTGTGTATTTTCCGCCAACCAAAGCAACTGCTCCTCTTCTCAACGACGACGGAACCACCCTACTCACTGAGAAGACAAATTCAAAGGTGACGAGCCGAACACTTCAGAAGCGTCCTCAACCGTCCCTCCACCATCTATGATGCCACTGCCACCCATCTGCCTCAAGTGGAGACCATCGCCGACCTCGACCTCCCGCCCTCTCTCCAAGAAACCATCAGGACCGTGCAGCAGTTCTTTAATGGGAAAGCGCCCGGATCGGACGCGATCTCTGCTGAGAACTACAAACGCGGTAGCCCCCAACTTATAGAACATCTGACGGCGCTCATCAAGTAGAGGTGGCGTCATGGAGAAGTCCCGCAGGACTTCAAGGACGCCACAATCGTCCATCTCCATAAGCGGAAAGGTAACCGCCAGCTCTGCGACAACCATCGGGGCATCTCCATGCTGAAAATCGCCGGGAGGATCTTTGCTCGCATTCCCCTCAACCGCCTGAATCACCATCTGGAAGAAGGTCTCATGCTGGAAAACCAGTGCGACTTCCGCCGTCATCGTGGGACCACGAACATGATCTTCGTCGCACGCCAACCTTAGAAGAAGTCTCAGGAGGTGCGGACCCACCTCTTCTTTACCTTCGTGGACTTTACGAAAACCTTGGGCACGATGAATCGTGACAGACTGTGGAAAATCATGCAGAAATTCGGCTGTCCCGGACGATCCACTTCGATGGTGCGTCAGCACCACGATGGCATGATGGCGCGCGTCACGGAAAATGGAGTCGTATCGGAGGCATTTTGCAGTGACCAACATAGTGAAGCAGGGCTGCGTCCTTATGCCTACCCTCTTCAGTCTCATATTATCTGCCATTCTAATGGGCGCCTACTGCGACGGACGCCCCGGGATCCGCGTCGCCTACAGAACGGGCAGCCAACTCTTCAATCAACGGCGGATGCACTTCCAGTCGCGTGTCTCCAGAATTAATGGTAATGAACTTCCCTTCGCCGACGACTGCGCTCTCAACGCCGCCTCCGATGGGGACATGCAAAGGAGCATGGATCTCTTCGATGCCGCCCACGATCACTTCGGCCTGGTCGTGCGCTAAACGCCACCCGAAGCTGTCTACTTCGCACCCCAAATGAAAGTGAGCGGCGCCTAACTGCAAGTGGTGAACAACTTCGCCCACCTGGGCAGCAACCTCTCTCATAACACCAAAATCAATGACCAAGTGGCCCGCCGGACTCCCAAGCCAGCCAAGCCTTCGGCGCCTGAAAAGCACCGTCTGGAACCGTCACGGTCTCCATCTCAACACCAAACTGAATATGTGCAAGTCAGTCATCCTGCCGACGCTGCTGTATGGAGCAGAGACTTGAAAGGAAAATGCTCTGAGTCGTCAACCTCATTCTATGTTCCCACTCTCGGGTCCCAACCACTGTCCGAGCCGGTCAGTTATCTGGTGGGGAGAGCGGACGCAGTGGGTGACATTGCTAGTGACCTCGTCTGTGCGTGCTAGGTGCACCCAAACGTACACACGGGGATTTGACACCCCAGGGGGTAGAACGCACCGATCTCACATGCAGTAAACGAGCAATGCGCGTTGAGGGGATGGGTGGTGATTTGGTCGTGCCTGCGGCGATTTACCACAGGTTTTTACGAAAACGCATTTGACCGAATGGGACCGTGCGATGGCTGAATGCGAGAGATCAATGCGAACGATTGAGATGATGACATCTGGCGCGTGTTGGTGCCCCCGGGCACTGCTTCGTCAGCCTCTGTGCGGTAGATTCGCAAGTGGCCGGCCAGGCCGATGTGCGAGGTTAATGTACGGGAAAAATGTGGGAAGGATAGTTCGGTGGTATCGGGGTTGGTTTCAGTGATGGTGGAGAAGGTAGAGTTGGTGGTGGGCCCTGTGGGCGGCCGTGTGTGGGTTGGGCTAGGCATAGTGGGTGTGCAGGCAGTGCTCGGTGTTTCGAGACTGCGGTGACTTCCGCTCTCGTGGATCCGCATGTACCCTAGAAGGCCCATGCGGTAATTAAACGTGCTGTGCCAGTGTGGACAGTGGAGACGGATGCGATGAGTGTATGTGGGGGCTCCTGGCACCGGTTCGCCAATCTCCGTGCGATGGACTCGCAAGTGACCGACCAGGCGGACGTGTGAACTGAAGGTGCGATCGCAATGAGGACAGGTCCGCATCGTTGGATGCGGAGGTAGTAATGGGGAATGTGCTAGTGGTTGACAGGGCGCCAGAAGCGTTTCTGTCAGTGTCGGAGGTTGTAAAGTTGGTTGTGTTCGTTGTCACCTCGGTGGTTGTGGTAGAGATGATGGAGGTGACGGTGATTGACAACGGTGGGGAACAGAAATTCGGAGCAGCAGTGGTGAGGGTGGGCGCCGTTGTGATCGGCGTGGAGGTCCAGGCAGGGGTGGTCGTGGTGTCAGTAGTTGAGGTCGTCAGACGATTGGTTCATGGGATCAGGCTATTGCCGACGAGGCCGATTCACGCGCGGAATATTCGTTGACAGTGTGGGCATGCTGGGTGGGATTGAATGGCGATGTTGCAAACCAGGGGCACTTGAGACTTGCCAGCCGCCCTCTTTGCTAAAACGGCAGAGATCCGGTTTGCTTTACTGCTTTCCCCATGCCAGTCTGTTCTAGGCGAGATCCTCCCAGGTCTCCGAGTTGATCAGTAGTTACCTCAGAGAGTTCTTCACTGTCCTTGTAGTGTTGTTTTTGTCCTAGCTGTCCGTGGGCACCCGTAGCAACATCCCCGTAAAAGAATCGTTTGGGCAATCGCGCATCGTCCATCCTCACCAGGTGCCCGCTCCAACGCAGTTGCAGGTGTCTTGGTATGGCGTAGATGCTGAGGATGCCGATCTATTCTAGAACTCCTGTGTCCTGGATCCTGTCCTGCCATCTCAACCTCAGTATTCAGCAGAGGCCGCTGAGATGGAAGTAGTTGAGCTTCCCGGCATGGATTGCGCAGACTGCCCAGGCTTCCGTTCTGCACAGAAGTGTCGTGAAGACGCGGTTTTGCAAATCTTCGGTTTGGTGTTCAGTTGAAGGCCATGGCGATTCCACACGGGGCGCTTGAATCCGGACGAACGCTTGTTTGGCTTTGGAGGGCCGACGCTCAACCTCGTCGTCGATTATACTGCTACGCAACAGTGTGCTTCCTATATAAGCGAAGTTGTCCACTGCTTGGAGTTGGTTACTCTCGGCATTGATTCGAGGAGTGCTGCATTCCGTGATCGGTGACGGTTGATGCATGAACACTGTTTTGACCGTGTTGATCGTCAGTTCGTTTCCAGATGTTGCGGTGGTGATGAGGCCTTTTCTGTTCCCGACAGTTAACTATGTGGCGATCGCGCTGGATCAACGCGGGATTATGTTAGGGCACGGAAATCGTTATTTGGACAGTACATCCATAACAAATGCCACGCAAAGGGAGTGTGGTGGCACGTCTAGGCGCAGGCTCAAGCTAGATCGGACACCTGCGTCCGACCCCGCTTACGGTGTTCTTGGCTTTACCTTGACGCCAGGCGCAGGTGGGTGAGGGAGGAGAGCATGCGGTAGATTCTGCGCAGGCCCATCGTCACTCATGCCCGAGTCATCGTCTCGGCTCTCCCTACGCTGCGGGCTACACTGCGAACATCGTCGAAAACAACGGTCGAACGGTCGGTGACGCTGTGAAATGAAAGGGGGCTAGTTGTGTTGGCAGTTCGCGGTGTCCGCAAATGTCCAGCGAGGCTGTTCCGTGACCGGAATATTTATTGACATTGTGGACGCGGTAGCAGGGGTCGAGTGCTGGAGTTATTGATCCGTAGCACAATAGTTGAGACTTCTTGCTTGGACTTCGTAAACGGTTCACATCTCCATTCGTATGTAGGCGTTGTCAGGACTCAGTTGTGCACTCAGTTTTGCGGGATGCCGCGACGGTTTCAGACAGAGTGCTACAGCTGGCCGACGGCTAAGGTTTATTTTGTAATTCGAATAGCGATTTCGTCATTAACCATGATATTTCTTGAAGTTGTAACCCCCTACACCCGCAAATTTCTCCACCACTTTGACTTGGGTATTACTGACACTGATAGGGTTTTCGGTGTAGTCAAAAGTTGGCGATGGTTAGCGCGTGACCACTATCTTTCGTGTTGGTAATTGGGCGAAATTCGGAGCGGCCGGCGACTAAGGCATCCACACTCCGCTGCATGTCCTTTTCCGTTTTTTTTAGCGTGCGGCCATCCATAGGCAATAATTCGTGAAGGTTGCCCTTGTATACGCTCGAAGATGCTGCCAGGCGACCGATATTGGCAGTTTTCGGTCAGCTCGGTAGTTCTTGTCGATCTTCGGCTGCTCCTCGCTATGGGCGTCACCAATACGGCGAAGAAAATGAGACGGAATAGGGTAGAGACGCGTACACATCATTGTTTCAGCCAATTTATTATCACGAACGCTTCAGAAACTGCCCATTGTCCGTGACGCGAGCCATCATCCCGTCATGAAGTTTTCTTACCGTTTCAGTAACTAGTTCAGGAAATCCCGATTCCCGTATGTTTTTTCCAGAATTCATCTCGGTTTACTGAATTGAAGGCAAGAAGGAAGTATGACAAGGCAAGCTAAGTGACAGTAAGACAGATTAAAAAGGAAAGACAAGTCTAATAATGCAAAGAGACATGGCTCTCAAATAGGTATATAGGTACATGTAATGAAAATAAGTCTTGGTAAATATCGAGGATTTCGGCATCAAAAACAAATTCCCACCCTGAATATTGAAACATGCAGGGGCAGTCTGTTCATGTAAATATAATCATCAGTATCCGTAAGCGAAAGGTAGTTGCAATAGTTAGAAATAGCGATAAACCTTAAACTAATTTCTTTTTTGACGCATACAACCGCCTGAACAAACTATAAAACGCAGAGGACACCAGAGGGACATACCAACAGAAGTTGAGGAGATAATGGAAATACTGAACGCCGCTAATTTGGTGTAACATTGCCAAGACAGAGGTCTGCTGACCAAAAGTTGGAAATGCAAATGTCGTTGGACACTGCAGCAGCAAATTCTCAGGACAAACACTGACGGTTTCGTCTTCAGATGCAATCGTTGTAGCAACGCGAAGGCACTGCGAGCAGGTTCAATATTTGAAGGCAGCCACCTAACAACCAAGAAGGTTTTAAAAATCTGCCGGTCATTTTTAAGAGAGGCCAGAGTAGGGAATTGTAAAAGGGGAGGGGGGGGGGGTGCCATGCAACGGCAGTGGAGTGGTACGCCATATGCCGAAATGTATGTTCCGAACTGTTTGGCGGCCCAGGAGTAGAAGTGCAGATCGATGAAACGCCGGTGAGCCGCCGAAAATACAACGCCGGCAGGCAAAAGAGGCAGTTATGGCTACTCGGGATGTACGACACGAAACAAAAGAAGGGAATAGTCGAGCAGGTGAACAACAGAACATGGCAAGACCTTAGACCGGTAATAACGAAGTGGGTGGCAAAGGGCAACGTGACTGTAACGCATGAATGGAAAGCCTACTCACGCCTGTCGTCGGAAGGCTACGAACATTATACCATAAAGCACTGTCGAAATTTTGTGGACAAAACCACAGGCCGCCATACCGATGCAAGGGAAGCGTATTGGAGCCGCCTGAAAATAAGATTACATGAAGGCGGCCCTGTGTCAAGCCGAGTTGCCTGGGCCCACATTGACGAGGTACAATATCCTCTTATGGTTTGGACTCAACGCCGCCGGCCTAAAACAAGGGTGGGAAACCTTCCTGTCCCACATAGCGGAGGTTAATCCCGTGAATCAGTCAAACAATTGATAATCCCACGGAACTGGTACATAACCGTCAATTCTCTCAGCTGTAAGAATTTCCTTATGTATAAAGTAACCTCAAAATACTCAGTCTTAGGTATGTTGTGGATCGCGGACTGAACCTTCGCATGGCATCGAACATTTAAGAATTTTCATGTGGTTCAAGTAATCTCAAAATACTCAGTCTTCGGTATCTCGTTGATCGCGGACAGATATTTCGCATGACATCTAACACGTTTGGGTTGAGGAGCAGGATAATGAGTCTATATAGACATTTTTACAGAGCCTGGGCGGTTGTCTGCAAGGTCAGTAGCACAGGCCTGTGAAACACGCAGGCCAAGCTTCATTGGTACACGAGAGAAAACGTAATCGAACAACGCCTACTTAAGTAACTACAGTAGCCAGTCTTGTGTACTATTAGGCCTATCCCGGAGACGAATCATACCCTTACCGGATCATGTCTGTTGTTCCGCGGTGTTTTGGAAATTCGGACTGCGTTTCTGGAAGAGGGCCTCGCTCCAGATATGCTTTCGAACTTTTCGTAGGACACGGACGAAGGTTTCTTTTCCGACATCAACTCTTTCATCGAGACCGATTAAGGAAGCAGGAATTCTACCTAACAATATATGTAAGGGGAGGGATAGTTCAGTCAGAATTCAGAGCTGTTTGCTCAAATGATTTTAAACTAACAGAGCTGAAACGTGAATTAGGGGTATCACGCTCGAGTATAAACTTTAGACCGCAGGAAATCGAACTACTTATACCAATGATAGATTGTGGTAGTGAGTTAAGCAGATCGTACAGCAATAATGGATACTGTCGTCTGGAAATTTTGTCATAAAAATGTCACAAAAATAAACTTCGGCAATGTACTAACAAGATGTACATGCCTAAAGAAGTGCATGGACTAGGTCAATACACCACGATAACGGTTATAAGAAAAATAGTAACAGCACTCATAATAGCTTGCCTAGACGTCCATGAAGACACTTACGGAGAGTTTTTAAATGGCGCCAGGAGTGCCACGTATTACTTTCGGTGATGTTACTCTATCTTACAAACCAGGATCACCAAGAAACAGAATAGGTAAAGACTTTCTAAATGTGTACTTTTCAACCATGCTATAGGCATACGGAGATACTGGAATCTGATTATACACTATCCCAGTCGCACTCAGATCGAGAATATAAAAAAGCACTCGATAGCACACATCCCCGTTCTAAGGGTTGAGACAGACTGGGATGGACGACGTCGTTGTCCATTTGAAGGGAGTGTTCGTCTTCTATTTCCAACACAACTGATAAATAAAACTGTACGTCTTTGCACTATAGAGTTCGTTAGTACGTCCGTTGCGTAAATCCGCAAGTAAAAACAATTTTACGAACAAACTACATCACGTTATTTGTTTTCGGGGACTGGACCACTCATTGAAATCTTATATTTTTGGTCCGACTCTATAGAGGAAGTGGATGAGTAAAAGAGGTGGGACCAAAAGTAGGATTTCGGCGAGTGACTCAGTCCATCCCAGACCCCTAAAACAAAAAATAGGAAGTAGTTTGTACTTATGATTTTTTCTACGGAATGGTAAAGCAGGGGAAGTACCTACTTAGGAGTTGTTTATTTAATAAGTAAGGTAAAAGGAAAGGTGGCGGAGTCAACCTGTTTATCGGCAATGCAGTCGAACATTACGCTATTGAAAAATGTGCAAATGAACATGACCTGGAAGTTCTAGAATTTCATTTTTTTGGTTCTTAAAGTCGAAAGTATTACCATTACCGTTCTATGTAGGCTTCCAAATCGACCAAGATCAAGCGTTAATCACTAAACTTCGCGAGGACATTCGAAAGCAAAACATTATTACTGCGGGAGATTTAAATGCGCTGCAGATTAACTGGTGCCTTATGACAATTAAGGGATACAGACAAGGATTCGATCAAATGCTATTAGACATGGCACTTAATGAATTCTGTTTCAGTATGTACGAATAGTGTCTCGTGTGCATGAAAGTCAGAGAGTTAGTTGTCTGGGTCTACTATATACCAAGAGCGAGGGAAGTGCTGATGAAGTTAGTGTAGGCCCGGTTCTAGGTTTTTGTTATCACACGGCATTAGTGTGGGAATCAACACTCGTGGCTGACCCTCAACGAAGCTCAGAGTCGTCAAGAAATGTCTGGCGGTATAACTTTGAGGCAATGAAATCGGAGACTGGATACGCACTATGGATGGAAATATTGCGAGGAGATATCAACGAATTTTGGCGGACCTTCGAATAAAATATGAAAAACTTGATTGACTGACATTGCCCTCTCAAGAAACATCCAACCGAGAAAAGACTGAAATGGATGATAACAGCGGTTAAGAAGGAGATTCGAAAAAATCGTAAGCTATGGAGAATCTTCTTGCAACCAGAGAACCCAGAAAGACTTCAGGAGTATCGTCAACAACGCAACTTGTGCAAAAACTCTTCCGTAAATTATGTGCTTCTAATGAACCAAAGTTCCTGTAAGAGGCACAGCAAAAACCGAAAGCATTCTATGCATAAATTAGGAGCAATACAAAAACTGTGATCATTTCACAACCTTAAAGAACAAAAATAACTAAATAACGAGCGACAGCTTTCAAAAAACGGGCTTCTTATAGAATTCTTCCAGTGTTTGTGCCTCGGAACCATCCCTTAAGTCCTGTGTGAATAAGATGGAATCCCCTGAACCGGATTCAAGATTTCTTAAACGGTCGTAGACAAAAAATTACTGATGGCAGCTACCGCTCAGAATTGGCGCCTGTTAAATGTGGAGTCTCACACGGGTCAATTCTTGGGTCGTTCCTGTCCATTATCTACATAGATGATCCGGTACGGGAAGTGAAACTGGACATAGCGCTCTTTAAAAATGGTCCATAACCATGAAGGCTGCTAAAAGATGAAAAAGACACCGAGATACTACAAAAGAGGTAGAGAATTTGGACGCGTGAAGCGAGATCTGGTGCACGAAATTAGACGTCAAAAGTATGTGGTAGTGCATGTAATCTCCTCAAGGCGAAGAACAAATGTGCCCTCACGACAGTTTCGCCTAGACAATCAACCACTTGACACCGTTGATGTGCAAAAAGACCTCGGCGTATTCATTAAAAAGAACTTAAGCGTCGCCACGCCGTGCTCCAGTCGGAATGCGGGCAATGCCAATTATGAGCGCGGTAAGAAGAACGTTTATTAACTTGAATGCAGATGTCTTTGACAAGGTATATGGGGAAGTTGCGCGGCTGCACCTGGAATATGCGACACAGGCTTTTTTCTCCATTACGTTCATGCTGACATTCCGTATTCTAAATGTGGTCTAGCGTACGCACCAAAAATTCTCATGAGGTTTCTGGAATGAAAGATTACGAAGCCCCCCTGAGCCCGCGCATGGTCATCGTTGTCATCAGGAACTCCATTTACAATGTTTGGAGAGCAGCAAGTTCAATTTGTCCAAATACTTAGATTTTTTTATGTTTCCAATTCTTTCAACGAAATTCAATTTATGAAGTTGAGACGTTCTAGGAAATGTCTCCGACAGACTTTCAATGTGCAAATGTTGCACAGCCAGCAACAGTTCCTGCCGCCTTTATAATATGACACTTTTTACTTATCTTAGTCAGTTTCTTGTTTTCAGTTCTAAATTTGAACATGTGGCTAGAAGAATAACATGCTGCCGATCGATTTTTATGCCACTGCTTGTGGTTCCTCTGCTAGCTGCTCTCGTTACAACAACCTCAGTCTATAGTGGCGCTAAGACATAAAGCGCTCTCCTTCGGTTTTATGCTAGTAAAGATTTTGACAAGAAAGTGACAAGTAATTTTGGGCGTTTTGATCTACACGTAATTCCTACGATCCTAACGGACTAATCACGCGTTTAAATATACTAGCTCCCTGCCGCACAACTTGAGTGCCTTTTGGCATGCAGGTTCGTCTTGAATCAGGACACATTTGTGTCCCTGTCCTTACACTGACGCCACTGAAGCATCTCACTTGCCCTCCCTCGTTTTCCATAACCGCTGATTTCAACTTTATTTATATTACTCCTCACTCTTATATTCATGGCCACACTTTTCCCTTATGCACTGTTTACGAAAAATTCCTTTATGACTCCTTGATTCTTTGCATGTTGTGTATGAAGTTAAGCAGCATTCGTATTCGATCAGTCATGTTAGTTTAGACGTGGCCATTACTTTTGCCCACCCCTTAGTTTTCTGATCTACTTTTTATGCATTCTTACTCAGAATTTTCACACCTCTTTCACTACACATGTAGTTGGATAAAATGGAGGGCAGGATACAGCCTTATCGAACAGCAGATCGAATATCAAATGGTTGGGACAGATTGTCATGGACCAGAACTCGATCACTGTGTGTGCCATAGTACACTTTGAGCATGGCGATGGTTTTGGCCGACGCACCGGCCAGTCCCACTATCCGTCTCAGGGACTTAGTGTGGACGGAATCGAACGCAGCAGCGAAGCCAACCAGGTAGATGGCTTTCGATTATGGGTAATTATGGTGGAATTCCATAATGTACCTCAGTGTACATATATGGTCCGCACACCCCTGCTCAGCACAGATACCTGCTTGGTTGGGCCTCATCCTAGAGTCACACACAGTCTGAAATCGTCTGCGACGAACGACAGCGAAGACCTTCACATCAACGTCTCTGAGGCTCATACTGCGGCAGTTCTCATAGCTTGTCTTATCTCCCTTCTTGAAAACAGGTACAAGAATGCCTGGGCCTTAATAACGAGGACCGAACTCATCTCTCCACGCTTGCCTAATCAGCTCATGGAGTCAGGGCGCCAGTACATCGACACAAGACTTGCAGATTTCAGTGGCTTTTTTTCTTGCATTATTTTCCGTCGCTATTCGGTTGCTTACGAAGACTTCAGATTAAGCTGCATGGCGCGACGGGATGAACACGTATAGTAACACGGTCAGTGAACGCACCATAGGTAATATTCCCGATCGCAACCGACAGAACAACTGGCCCGAGCGTTAAACCTACGAAAAAAAAACGTTCAGTGACTAAAGAATCCAGTCAATAAAGCCTGAGGCTGTGTATGGCTGACTAACGACTAATAATTAAGAAATGACCGTTCCAGTCCGCCTAGTTTTTCCTTAAACATATATGGTCAGTATCTTGTGAAAAATAATGTAATTTCTCCAAACATAGAGCAATGATTGAAAATTCTCAATGGTTGAGTTGCGCTTGGCCTCTGAGTTTTTTGTATGTTGTTAGAACTCCCCCCCCCCCGATGCAAAGCGCAGCATATCTTTAGTCTAAAGGCCATATGAGGTTATATTCCACAATTATGAGCTGTAAAAGGAATATGGGGTTTGCTCTTAGCCTCACTACTAACTACAGCCCTCAGTGAGGGCTAACTGCAGTCGTAAACCAGCAGTGACACTTTTGAGGTTTGCTACACCAACTGCTCGAAGTATCACAACGCCTGATGACGCCGCAGTAACACAACAGTTGTCCATAAATAACTCCTTACTTTCACTGCCTTGTTGGCTGAACTTTTATCCAAGGAAGTTGGGAACTAGAGGCCTTGACTTGTACTGTACTTTTGTCTTCCAAAGTGCCATAGGTCTGTCATTTGGTCGGATTATATGCAAGCTGGCCTTTCTGGGGTAAAACAAAGGATAACAACGTGGGGAAAATTTAGAACTACTTTTGAATCCGCAATGCAGAGCCTTATCATGCGATCATGGGGGCACTACTTTGGAGATTTTTCCTGACCCGCCAAAGTGTGATTTCCAGGCCGTGGCTTGCACAGCATCGAAATTCAAGGCACGGAAAAGTTCCGCCACCGCTACCACAATACTTCGCCTGGCCGTCTCCAGCTGCTCTGCTGCACTGATGCAGACAGCAACTGCCCCTAACGCGTCTTCAGTTCAAATGACACATGAACTAAAGCAGGCCCTTCAAAGTACCCTGGCGTCGCCTCGAGCGCTGAATTTCTTCTGAGTCGATTCGACTGACTAGTAGTGAACAGTCTTCCTTGCGATACGAGTCTCAGAGACTTGCGCCGTCACCACGCATTCTGCTCTGCACGAAATTAGACCAAGATGGCGGGTCGCTGCGTGGTAGCTGCTGTGAAGTTGATCTCCTGCGCATCTATACAAAAACCTTTGCAGTGGTCCTCAATCGCCTCAGCTCGTACTGCGACGCGCTGAAAAGAAATTTTTATTATTCTCTTCGGCTTTGACGGGGTTGTGTTGCCGACGCTTCTCACCTGGCTTAGCTCCCAAACGCTGTAGTTAATACCAACAGCCCACTTCCTTACATTTCTTAGACCTTGCCTCTCTCCATCGAGATTCCCTGTGATCGATCACGTTTCACAGTGGCATGCGATTGAAACTACTCTGGTTTTAAGGCCAGAAGGGCAGGACAAATGTCCAAGTCCTTGTGAACATGGAGGCCCTATTTCCTTTATTTTTTCCACATCGCTCTCGGCGTCTGTCAGAGTTTTGCTTTTTCACCTACCCCGATCAACAACGTGATAGACTGAGTTTTCCAGCACCCATTGTCAGAGAAATCCGGTGTTGCGCTAGGTGGGGGCCCGTAAATTACGGATCTTGACCTCGCTGATGACTTTGCGTTGATGGGCGGCTCCCTTTCAACGTTAAAGTATGCTGTTTCATAGATGCATGAAGGTAGTCGAAGGGACCTGTGTTATGACTCGGCCTGGTTCTCAGAAATCACACGAAGTGTATGCTCACTCGGCTGTTGTCCCCAGCACCAACACAGCAAAGAGAGAGAACATGGTCGACCACAAAAATATGTTGGTTGGCAAGCCATTGTCGCTGAAAGGCTGCGTGTATCTATAGCATTCCGTTCAGGTTGGTCAGTTTTTCTATCCAATCCGCTTTACGAGAAAGTTCTTGAAGAACCGAGTAGCTTCTCACAGACATTAACCAATCAGGTCCAACGGGGGCACTGTAGCCAGTCAGTACGGGGCGCTGTCGAACGCACGTTCATGGCATGCAGCGTGGGAGACGCGCGCACGTATTTTTCTCTGAGATCAACTATTCATGAGAATGTGGACATCTCCAACAACCGCAAACTAAACTCATCCTCTACAAAGACAATTGTCCCGATTTTAAGATCGAAGATATCTTACCGACCACAATGGATGACGAAACTCATCACCCACTGAGCAGGTTATGCTACTTTAGGCTGAAATCTGCGGCAAGGTGGAGACGAAAGCAACCATGAAAAGAAGCATGTGCGCGTCTTCATTCAATTTCGTTGAAGCCTCGCGAAGCGACGTGAGCTAAGTCTGGAAGCTAAGGTGCGAGTATACGACGCTTCCGTCGAGACGACCCTTTTGTGTGTATGTGAGCCGTTGGCCATGCACTACGAGAAATTCCATCACCCATCCACGGTGCCTTTGTGGCGTTTAAATGCGTTTCTCTAATCTTGTATAAAATTTAGGCCTATGTAGTTGGTCGGGGTTTCGTCTACCAATTGCGTCCTCCCTATCCACCAGTTCAGAGGATTCAACCACGTTCTGCGCTAACCTGACAACGCAGTCGTCCGGAGTGTCATATTGCTCGAACCCTGAGCTATAAAGGGATGTCTAGGTGATCAGCTGAAGCGAAAGCTGATTTCGAGGGCATGTCTGGTCCCGCGGTGTTTGGTCGGTGGGACTGACTTTCCTATTCGTTCAGTTTCGCTCAAAAATCTGCGGCTGGTTGACTACATCAGAAGGCAAGTATTCGCGTTGCGGCAAATCTGTAACATGGAGCTCGCTGAATTAGTCATAATTAATGCTATCATAGGCACAGGTGAGGTTATAACTACGACGACTCCGAACAAGCAGCCCTCTACTTCAGAGAGGGTTTTGGCCTGTTCTTCATGGTGTTTGGGGACGTGTCATAACTATGAATATTCTTAACTAGAGTTGAAATTCTTGTTTCCACCCGCGTATGCGTAATATCTGGGTTTGACTCAGAGATGTTGTTGTTTTTGACTTCGCGCATCGAATTGCTGTCAAGTATCCAGTGCCAGACCCTGGGCTGATTTATGTGTAGTTACTCTGTCTTACTGCACACTTGTCTAGACCAACCGACGAGTTCTGACAGTTCTCTAATTATATGCTTATGCCAGTCAAATAATTTGTTTACAGAACTTGGGAATGTCTCTTCACTGTTGAATTGACTTTCAAGATCAGGGTGGCCAATTGTATTGTTTTTTTGGGGTGGTCGCGTGGCGCGTTCGGACCAGTCTCACTACCGGCTTCTTTTTAAATCAGTTCTTGGGGTTACATGTACCGTAATCATAATAGTTGGCCTCAGGCGTAGGCTTAGCGGACAGTGCTCTTTCAACCGAACTCACGCTAGCTGGCTAGTAGATGGCGCCCACGTAAACAGGGCCTACTTGGACCATGAAAATAGTGCGGCAGTCATGTCGCGTCCGTATCTGTAGTGGAGAAAGAGACAGTTGACTTCTGACGACTTGATTTGGCCGGCAGCCAGAGTCGGGAATACACCGTAGATATCCGTCTCGCAGTGAAAGACACTTCGTCTTACTACACGCCGGCGTCGAAGGATGTTCGTACGTCCCATAATTTCCCACTAAATCAGTTTGGGGCCAATTGATCCTGCGCGCCTAACATTCCTCTGCATCACTTTAAATGTTGAGGGGAGGTGGAGAGACTTCGAGACACATAGGTGCTCATGGCCGCCCTCATACCATCCTATACAATAATTCTGAGACTGTAGGATGACCATTCGAAACTGCCCTACGATAGGTCTGAAAATGGTATCAATACACAATTCGCAGCGTTTCATACCTCGAAATAGGCTCAGGTTTACTTAAGCATTACATCCTTTCATCATACCTCTATGGTCCTATTTCTCAAAGGGGACATACTTGAAATGTGCCTGTCGTATGCGCATAGAGAAGGTTGAAACCCCCGAGAATGGAACAATTTGAGACGATATTTCGAAGGACCTCATTCTTCTTGCCCATAGCTGAGTTGGTGGTTTGCAATGTTGCATACAAATTCCATTCGAATGGAGATACGTACGAAGAAAGCAAACTATTTGTTGGGGGGAGGGAGATGGAGGTGGGTACGTTGAGTGGGCGAGCGGGTTTGATAATGAAAAAGTTTCAGAGGGACGAAAGACGTTCTGTATTTTGGATTATGCAACCAGAAGTCGAGAATTTCTTCGTTTGCCTTTAACACATTTTCCTGTATCTCTGTTGTAAGTTAGTTGTTTTGAGCCGCCTGGTGTCATAGTAGGTCTCATACTTTGATTTCAGTATTAGTCAGGAAACGATGGGGTCGTTACAAGTTCCAAAATCAGCGGTCTAGCAAGCTGTTGTAGGTAGGACCATACCGAGCACGCGAGAAGGAGAGCACAAACAGAGCGAGATCCAAGAATCAGAATGAAGAATACCCTGTGATAGGGCTTTATTCATCTTACGGTTGACGTACTGGAACTAAAACGAGAAATAGGACAGTAGTAGACAAGGTAGAATTTCACCAGGGCATATGTTAGCATGACACACGCCTTGTCCTTGTATTTATCCCCTTGCTGCTGTTCGCAAATGTGGGGACAGTTATAATCGGACATGAAGACGTTCCTTTGGTCTCCTTTTCAACTCTCGTTTTGGTGGTCCTCGCTGTTTCCGTCACGATCGACAAGGAAGACGGAACATGCGAGGCATTTTGTTGAAAACCGTTTTAGATGAAATATCTTTCGTATTTAGTTTGAGCATCCTCCCGCCTATAGAGGAAAAATAGGAAATATTGCCATGTTGGAAATTGAAGTGTCACGCTCCTGCAGCAATGTCTCTGTGAGTTAACCAACGGTATGCTCCTCATCACTTTGCTGGCAGTACATGTCACCGGAATGCCCTTCTGGCTCAAAGGAGTTTTTAGGGCTCACTGCCATGGTTCAATGGCAAATTTTTCTCGACTTTGGTCTAGAGCACGTGCTTTGCTGTTTTCTTATGAGGCGCATTTAAGTTTAGGGAAATTTTTTCCGAAACTCAGAGGCTTTTGTCCGATAGGGTAGCAGACAGCTGGATTATGCAAAGCGCTCTTCAATTATCCTGCTTGTATTAGCATCGTCTTTTTACCAATGCACGTATCTTTAGTAGTCTTGCATTTAACTTTCAATTGATTCTCATATCTCACCCGCCATTATCGCTGTTTCCTGAAGTCCGGATGGTTTCTTGCAAACGAACAGCTTCGTCCAGAGACTGTGAAAGGTTTTGAAGTTCGACTTAGTTTGAAAATGTTTTACAGGTTTGCGGTCTTGAAGCATCTCCGGAAGGGTTTTGTTTTCCCTTATTTTGCCTCGACTTTTATTCATTTTTTCGTTTTTCTTACAGCTTGACATGGTGTCGGAGAAGGTCTCACGTCTGGCCAAGATGTTGGCTTCGGATGAACTGAAAACCCGTAAACTTGGTCACAAACTAGCCCTGAAACTCCTTCGAGTAAAAGCGAAGACAGAAAATTGTTAGACAAATTATCATTCCCCTTATAACCCTTTTCTTTAGCTGGACTCACATACGAGAACATTTTGGGTGTCTGCAAGGGCCTCCACTACAGCCTGTGGATGCAAGACAAGCTGTTGCTACAGGTTGGGACGTGTACTTAGATTTTCTTATACGCTAAATTTTCCTCATCAATTTTAGGAGGATACTGTCGAGCGCATTGTGAAATTACTCCCAATGATCACCTCACGAGAAACGCGAGTGAGCTTTGTCTCAGCTATGTTCGAGACACTTGCCCGCGAATGGGAGAATCTGGACGTTTGGCGGGCCGACAAGTTTATGATGGTACATACTGACCCCCCTTCTCCCCATATTTTTCCACCTCGGCCACATCACACGCATTATTAAGTCTCCTTTGGCTTGCTTCCATTTACCGAGCTCCATCCCGGCGCCTTGGCGACTTCCAGCTTTATAGCAGGCTAGAAATCAAACGCTTTCGTGCCGACCCGGCGTTTAAGGTGGCTTCACATCAATGAACTGACGCCTTTCTGTCACCTCTTTTTCTCGTGTGACTATTTTCAGTGGCCAGGGGTTGACTGTCACACCAACTGTCGAGTTGCGCAGGCTCCACGAAGCTGTTCTGGGCACAGCGGCCACACTTGAGCAACAGTCTAGGTTGACGAGCCAGATCAGGCAGTTTAACCGGTGTGCGCAGCCTGGTTTTGTTGCTGTAGAAGGGATCTGCGCGTTGTGACACGCATAGATGGGGTCCTATGTCGTATCAGCCACTGCACGCGAGCTCATCTGTCATCCATCGGACCCGGTGATTATGCGAAAAGAAGGTCATTGTCCTGTTCGATGATCACATCCTGGTGACTGTCATTATATGTGCTGAAATGTTCTGCCCACCCCGTCAATTACGGGTTCGTATTTGATTAATGTTAACTTGATTTCCACCGATGCATTAGTCCTAATGTGCATTCACTATTTCTCATATTTCCAACAAAGCCTTCCATTCTTTTGCTAATCTGCGACTGCATGGTGCAGACTTTTTGTTCGGAAACCCTCCAGCTTTCGTCTTCTGGTCTTAAACGGAAGCACTCTATCGGAAGTATCGACGATTACCTGTTACGCCAACTCGGAATCTCCTCAACTACCGTATCGGTGCTATGGCGCGATCGTGTCATGGGAGTTAACGCCTTTGCATACCGGCAGCTCGGACAACTTCAGAGAATTATTTATCGTCGTGTACGCCGTAGAATGGTAGAACAGATATATGCAGGCTAATCAAAAGCCCAGAACTACAGTGGAGGTGTCGAATTATATAGCCTGATGTGGCCTGCCGATACTAGTTAATTTTTTGTGTAGGTGCTGATTTTGACCGCGATAAGCGGGTTATGCATGAATGCGAAACTGGTATTTTATTCCTCGCCTTGTCTCCCACGCAAGACAAATAACGACGAGAGAGAGAGAGGAGTATTCCTCAAGGATTTTTAAACCGAACTTGATTTTTCTTGTTTCTGCAGCTTGCTCGGGAATTTTTTGTGAAGGCCTTGATGTGTACAAAGAAGCGTGCCCTGCCAGTGAGTGGCCTGACAAACGCGGTCTTCGATAAGGTCCTGAATTCTGATCCGAATGCGGCCATCGACCTCAAAGTACACCTTTGCACTGTAATTGCCCAGGAATTAACACAGAGAAAGGTTTGACATTGGTACCTTCTTGATCACCACTTCACTTTTAGGACTTCACCGCCGTTATTCTCAGTTTTTATAAACACACATTGGCTGTTCTGCTCAAAGTAACCAGAGGCAATGATTACATTACCAGTTTGACGCGACTCTTGCTCATCCTCACTCGTCTCGTCCGACCTAATCGATCGGTCCGTTCGGAGCTCAGCGAAAATGCCCTCCTCCTGTCCAGTAAACATCCGCTTCACAGGGGAACACTCCGTAGGATATCTAAAATGTAAACATCAGTAGTAGTAATTTCTCATAACGCTCTTTTAATGCTAGACTGCACGTTAAGATGAGCCAAAAGTCAAAACCGTCGACGGATCAGCCTGGAGATCTGAACGCACCCCCTAACACTCCTGCTCAAACTGCAACGGCAGATCCGGAGACTGGTGTTAAAGTCTCTTCCGAGGAAAACCCCTCTGAGGTGAGTGGACCTGCCCAAGAGATGTGACTTCCTTTAGCCCTCCTGTGATCCCGCCATCACCACCACAACTACCGCAGTAACCAGGAGGATGAAGAAAAAAAAGCGAAGGGGTAAAAATGCCCCTACAGCAGACCTTAGTGCTGGCGCACCTGGGGTGTCGGTTATTCCCTCAGTAGATGACGATGCCCCAGCAACAACATCCAAACTCAGTACTGAGAAGTCGCAGAAATGCGAAGAAATGCTGACCACCTTTCAGCCAATCAAACCCTCCCCCGAACACCTGCCAAGAACTTCGGCTACGGAAGAAGAAACAAAGGCGTCAACGGAGTCCTCTTTAAATGGCAAGGATTTCGAAACAGATTCCGCCGTCATGGTACTAGTGTGGATCACTTGTTGAACTACCCACTCTTAGGAAACTCCGAACACCTCCTTGGGACGTCGGAAACGCAAACGCAGGCGTTCTTCTAGCCTCACCGAAGCAGTAGCTACAGTTCCTGTGGCAGAGGGTCTGTCGTCTTCCCCGACTCCCAGTGGTCTGGATTTGACACCTCAGATGCCGGTATGCCCTTTTTGTTGTTAAAGCATCTGCTGTGGTTTACTAGAAGCCAGACCCCGGGAATCACAAACGAAGGCGAGGACTCGGCTCTGTCGACTTGGATGCTTCTCCAGAGAACAAAGTCTCATCGACACCGGTTGCTGCAAACACGACCAACACTGCGAAAGCTGGTACTATTTCGACGACCGTATGTGACTGACAATTATTCTGCCCTAATTTACTCATTGCTTTTAGAATCAACAGTGCCCTTCTGATGAAGCTGAGCAAAAGGCGGCCCCAGTGAATACCCCGACACCCGTTTCTTTGGTGGTGTCGGCTAGTCCGTCGAAATCAGTAAATCCTTATCTTAGTCTCTCCTATCGTTTATTTTCTCCTTCTAGCTGAAAAGTCCTCCGCTGACACTACCATCGCTGCCAACGATGGAGGAAGTTACCAACACCACTGACACGATGTTGGCAGACTTTGACGACAGCCTGGTTGAGCCACCGGTCTCAGCGAAGAAACGCGTCTCCTTTGGAAAAGTCTTTCGAAAACGTGAGTTGCCCTTCCTCCTAAGTTTGTGTCTTGGTATTTGTAAGGCCTTTCGGGTGACCTTACTCGGAAAGAAATACGCCTTTCTGTCCTCGCTCATCGGTCTTCACCTTTAAAAAATTTCAAAAGAATGTCTTTTAACCCTGCGCTTCTATCCCTGCCCATTCCGATAGGGTTTTCGGCCAACAGGTCGCTGACTATATCGCCATCGTTGAAGGCCCTACCCGATCGCGGAATTCTTCGACAGCAGTCCTCTTGAGCCCGATATTTACTCACTTCAGCCAATGTCCGTAACTTTTCAGTTAATGCTCTGACACCTTTGCCCAATTTGATGTTGTGCATACTGGAAAGATGATGTAAATAAGAACTATGCAAGTGAGTGCCTACGTTATTTTCTACCAGCTGTCCTCAGTGCGGTTTGTAGCACTTGTCCGCCTGTTTTCTGAGTTGGGGGGAGTATGATGTATCTTGAAGGGAATTTCCAGCCACCGGCGTTTCGTGGCATGGCTTACCCAGCAATTTTGCCAGTTGCACGGTATGCATAGAAGACCGGCGTCTGAGACTGTTACGTCGGACTTACTTTGTTTCGCTGCCGGGCTTGTCAGGCTTTTATTTTTTAGCATCTCAATGAGTCTCTTTAGTATGGATTATTCTAGTTTTCCGCTTATCGGCATGTCGACAATTTTCACGCTTCGAGTCGCCCACATCCACACGTTTCTTCATGGTTTGACGTTTCTGAAGGTCAGACCTGCTGTTCACCCTCGGAGACGGGCAGCGGGCATAATGCACCATCGTTTATTAGGCCTCGGGGTCAGTCATGATCACGCTGTGCTACTTTTTAAGGGAAGAGTGAGGACAAGACTCTGCTGACCGTACCTGCTGCTGTGCTGGAAATACTGGCCCTCTCCCCTAATTACGTTTTTTTTAGTAAATTTGTCCTCACAAAGTTTTGTGGCTTAGTTGTCGGTTATTAATTATTCCTGTAGATGTTGTGCTGACGCTAGCCTGCCGTCGTCGTAGCTGGCATTTGTGACTGCGGAACCATTGATGGCCGTTGTGTTGGCTGCAGCGTCTGCTTGCCGCATCCGGCGCTCGTGGTAGAGATAGTGATATGAGAATTGATGGGCCGGGGAGGTCGATCGATTCGGTTTCCAAGAGCTAAACCTCCAGATTGAGCCGTTCAATTCGTGTGTGGTGTGTCGACTATGAATATTGACTGTCGAAGTGGGAGGTATGGTCTTACTCTTCAGAATGTGTAGCCACCTGTTGGATTGGGTTGGCGCGCCCCGCTGTCAACTGGCGTTTTCGGGGTCAGATTTGCGGTCCTCTATCTCACCGGCGTAGTTGCACTGCCCGTCATTGCACTTTACTCGGTCAACTGTGGTAGGATTCCTGTTAAGGCAATAAAAGCCTTAGGCTGCATTAAGCAATGGGGTATGATCTGAGGGCAACGGCGGTCCCTTGAGTGTGACGAAGGGAATTCCGAATGACCGAAACACATGTGTTAGTGCAGCTAGGAGCTACTCCGTCCGTCTGCAAGTGGCGGGTAGTCGGATGGCCTCGGACGAAGTTTGGTTTCAAGCTAGACGAGTTACCGCGTCTGACGAATAAACGGTTGTATTGGGTGCAGTGATGAAGGCTTCGTTTGATTCTGCCAAAAAGACATGTAGTAGATGCCCTAGACTGTGGAATATGCACAAATTCATTAATAACCTCATACCAATCGAAAACCGGTCTAAATGCCTCCACCATAATTCCCAGTTAATGGTAAACGGCCTTCGGTTAGAAGAAGGCGTAGAGGAAGCTTCGAAAGTAACATTGCATTGTCTGGAACTAACGATTTCCTTGAAAGAGTAAGTGCTAAAGCTTCGAATAGTCATGTCAAATTAGTAAACTTCATTCGTGGATGTACGTAAGGCCTAACCTCGCCAAATGCGTACTTAAAACAGCACACGCAAGACAACGTTTCGGAAGAGCATTTTAGATAATTTTTGGAGTAAATATCCTTTAAAAATAAATGAAACGGCGGCTACTAAATTACTTGCTGTTTAAATGCTTCGAAATGGTGCTGCGAGAATCTGGTACGGGTTTGTCGTTTTTTTGTGTTGGAGATTCGGTTGACTACAGCGGGGATAGGGACATCACAAAATTAACATTTTTACAAGGTCACGTTTAGAATGGTTAGTTGGCGTCTAGGAAATGAGAATGTGGTTAGAAGACAGAACTATAAGCGTACAATTTTCTGCAGATCAAAAGCATTCCTTTTAAGATTACCATGCACTCTGACAACGGTGGAGTCCACTGAGTTTCCTGATGTCCATAAAGTGTCAGCGAATATTTTGCCGTTTCCAGAGTTCTCTATCGATTGCCCAGGCTGATGACCTGTAGTGGTTGGGAGCTGCAACTCACTTCTTGAGTTTTTAGATGGAGGTCTGGGTCATGTATTTAGACTCATTTAAACATGAAAGCCAATCGTCGAAGAGGGTGGAGTTCCACGACGAAGGCCTGTGATGAATAGGCTCTTAATTAACTAGGAATTTCTAGTAATTTATATCTTGAAGGAATGCCTTGCTAAGCTATTTCGCCCCTGAATACCCAACGGCTTCATATTTTGACAACAGAGTCACGGACAGATATGTGTACTCTCTCTCTCCCTCTCTCTCTCTGCTGCTGCAAACGGCAAAACTACCTTCTCTACTGAAAGCACTTCCATCGTATTTACTGTTGGGCTTCGTTCTATCACTATAAATGTGCTTCAGAATGTCCGTATAAGAACTGGAGTATTAGTCAAACGGTTAGCGCGGCGCACATTTTCTTTCAAACTTACGTATCACTAAAAAAACTAGACAGTATAAAACTGTCTTACCATATGCTTAAAGGCCAACATGGTTGCTTAATGGTGGGTATTTTCAAAGTTACTTGTGGAATATTTGTATGTGCCTGGAAATTAGGGATGTCCTTGAGAGAAAAGATTACGGGTAGGCGTTATTATTGCATTTCGAAGCATAAACTCCAATATATTCACTAAACAGGACTTTTGAAAGGGAAGAAAACGGTGGTATTTCTGAGGATGACTCGAGTTTGCATCGCGCCTAATCTAATTTACGCTGGATGAAAAATCAAGTTCCAAGTAGGTGACAACAAGTTTCGTAGACCTTTCCAGTTTACATTAATGTCCACTAACACAGAAACGCGCACTAATGTTGAAATATTGTCCAGGGCGATCAGTAACCGAGAATTGCCCAAATTGTAAACTTTTTCGAGTGATGTACGTATTTTGGGAGGGTCATTCGGTGTCAGTTTAGTGAGCTGCTTGGGTGATTTCGAAATGTGTGGTCACCTGTGATTGGCTATCTTACGCGCATTTCCCGACTGCTCCCAAGCATGACCACGCGATTTCTAGCACAGCGTAGGTGCCAGAAATTGCTTGAAGCGCAACACGTTTGTGCGAGGCAGAGGGAACGAGTCTTGAGCATTGATTGCATTAAGGTGGCAGTGGTCAGTTTTTCTTCTTCGAAATGAGCGTAATCGACCAGGCCGAAGGTGACTTGGGCGGTCGGATGACCTTCGTTACGAGCTTTCTGTCGTTGAGATCGCTGGCCTGTTGGAATTGGGCAGAATGCGTCTCGGGGTTGTTAGGCCGGAGTCCTTTGAGAGCACATCATCTATATCAGTCATCGGTAATGCCAATACAGCAATAAGCACCGTGGGCTTAAAGTTGTAGGCGCCGGGGATACGTAAAAGAAAAGGACAGAATTAGGCCAGGTACATTAATGACAGTCGTGTGTTGTAAGGAAGTAGAGTCATAAGAGCGCGTCCCAAGCTACAGTGGGTGATTTTGTGAATCTGTGATCCTTGCTTCAGACACCTGGCCGTCTCGGACAGAGGACTAGTGCTCGAAAGTGGGAAGAGAGAGTGGGGTCGACACTCCTTGCATATTCCGCACTATAAACCATAAGACGCACTGTCAAACTGTCACGATGCACTGAAGGCCGTTGTTGAGATGGTTGCCAACTGACGGGATAACTCGGTCTTTCTCTCAGGGCGGAGAATCAAGTTGCGGTGGCTTCTTATTGTGGACTTTACGACTCTCCCGTTGTGCGTGGACCAGGCGTGAATGGCAAGCGTAGACGAGCCCACTAGCTACTGAGGAGCTGGTATGCAACGTGCCAATGCGAGCAGGAACATACAGTGCGTGACCTATCTCATGAAATGTTGGCTGAAATTCTGAAATGCGTTTTCGATTAAGAAGGATTACTTGGCCGCGGTGGTGATACTGATTATCCTAAGGCATACTCTTATAACATATTGGACTCGGCAGGATGTCGGGTTTTAAATGCACTTCTTTTCAATCTCCTGGAGAAAGCGTGCTCGGTAAAAAAAAATGACTACTTAAGTAGCATGCATTTTCCCCATTGATTTTCGATGGTCTTGGAAATTCAAATATATTTTATAGAAACCACAAACAAAAATATGCTTTCTTTTGGTCACACAATAGAGAATCACGTCTTCTTTATATTTTATACTTAAGGAAGGAGTATAATTAGGTTTTGAAAAAGTTTTCTAATTGCCGAAAAATTTGGAGCCTGATCATCTGTTGCATTAGCGCTTAGTGATTACACTCTACAAGGTGCATGCGTTCCGCGTAGACAAAATCCCATATTTTTCTGTCATTAAAGAGATATTGCCGTCCCTTGGGCCACCGTAGTGTCGTTTGACTGGTCGACTATTCTGGGACACCGGGGCATCCTATAGCTCGGTAGCCTCCTCGTTTTCATGCCGCAGTGGACGTGGTGGTTGAACCACCGTGAGTTTGTTGCCTGTTGGCACCTCCCTGCTGGTGTGACGGCATCCTGCAGGTTGGTTGGGGTTGGGCTAGGAAGAAAGGGACTAGATTGGCAGTCTGTTGTCCCTTTATAAAGCGGTACAGGACAGCATTATCTTCGCCGGCCTGTGCAAGGTTTGGGTACGCCGCGTCTGCAAGGTTGTTTGAGGACTGTTTTGGGGTACCCATTAGGCAGCCGATTGCTTCATCGATAGAGAGGGTGGATTGGGGGAATTTGTCTAACATGTTGCACAAATAGTCTGTGGATGCAGCCGTCGTCAGACCTGAGTGAAGGCCATTGACTAACTGCCGAGGCCCAGGTAGTTACGCAGTGTGAAACTCTGTTCTTATTTAGAGACTTCCTTGAGGTTAGACGAATGTGGCCTGGAACATTTCTCTTCCATCGTATTGTGGTAGGGCTGATGGTTTCAGCT